AATCGGAATGAGAAGTAACATGCTTCGCTTGGTTTTTGAGATAATTATTCAAATTAGCGGTTCCAAGCACTATCAAGGTTTGTTCTTTAGTCAAATATTTCCCATTAGTGTGCTTTTTCTTTTTATTTAAATGCATACAAATTTCATTTTTATATTTGATCTTTAAGTTGTACATATTCCGCAACTACAACTATGTAATACCATTCACCACTTGATTCTTAATTACAGTTGAATATGATTGACACTCATTAGTGAAATATTTGGTCAGAATCTGATTCAATGGCCTCGTTCATCTCGGGCCCAAAATATAGCCGAGCATACTGTTCCCAGCACTGGGCTACCAAACCCAATGTCCAGTTTGGCCAAAATCCCAAGAACACTCTTCAACAGTATCAATCCAGGTCTGTGGCCCAAAACCCGATCATTTAAACTTCTAATTTGGGCCTCGTAATTTACTTTAGATATTTCTCTGTGAACCGTATCTTTTAATTCGGAGATGGGCCCATTTTTAAAAATCTGCTGCACCCAATTCCCAAGGCTTCGACTTTAGTCCTTTTGTTGTTACTATAACTTTGATGCTCGATTTATCTTCGTAATACAAGCGTTTGAGCAATGTACTAATCATGGGCGTGTTTCGAATCTGCTTAAACAGGTCCCTTATGATGGTCTGGCAAGCATGAGATTGTTTTTACCGAAACTATTTCAGACCATATCAGGAGAAACTTGCCAAATGGGCACATATCTTCTAGTGCATGATCGAACTTGAAAGTTATTTATAAGGCTAATGCAAAATTTGTGATTTGGAATAGTGCAGGGAGTTGGTCGTGCTCGAATGTGATGAGTTTTCCGATTAGAGAATGTTTGAGATTGTAAAAATCTCAACATTTTAAGGAAATTTCAGCTTTGGGTTCGTGGAGAACTTCATATTTTTGGAAATTATGACTGCAAAGGGGTATAAATGTCCAAGTCGTTTTGTGAGCTGAGTCCTTCTGTAACTCAGGTAAAAATCTCAATATTTCTCCAGTGTGGACGATGGTATTTTTCTTGTATATTTTTTTTTGTATTTTTGTTTTCTTTCCGGTGGTGAATTGACACCCATTTTTATTATTTTCCCAGTGAATCATGATTTTATCCTGTTTTGAACTTCTTGTGATTTAGTATGTTAATAGAAATATTTTGTTAAGACTCTGGTCATCATCTTTTATGTGAGCTCGATTGTGCTCAACTCAGCTCGATCGAACTCGTTCTGAATAGAAATGAACCGAGCTTGATCTATCTCGTTTTGTTTAAGCTCGACGCTAAATTTTCATTAAACTACATAAACTATAAAATAAAGTCACTGGATTTGTTGAAGGCATGGAGTGATATAGCAATTTTGTCCATTTTCACAAGCACAGTTTAATAGATAGAGTTTAATTAGTTCTTCGTTTACGTATATAAATGAGTTGAATCGAAGCCCGAGTAAAATAGTCTTCGTTAAGTTTAAAAATTAAAAGTCTTATTACATAAATAATAGAAAAATAAATAAAAGCCAGGGCCTTTTATAGGCCCAATATAGGGAAGGTATACGTCTCCACATAATAAATTGATCTGTTAATGCGTGCTTGCTTGTGTGTGCTTTTTCCTGTTTTTCTTTAGAGCTCGACCCACAAAGAAATCTGCGGCCCAATCTATTAGTCTTTAAAACATTTGAAGGCCCAAATTTTGAGAAACAAAGTGTTGGCAAAAGA